AATCCTCTCTTTACAAGCATTGCATATTTCTTTAACTTTCCGATTCTGGAAAATACAGGATGCAGTCAGCCGGAAAATCAGCTTGGACGCACTGGTGGATTTTGCAATTGGACAAGGATCGCAGTGGATGTTCATCACCCCTCATGATATCAGGTAACAGATCAATTTCTAAACCATGGAACTCTGTTTGTGAAGTGGATACTTGGATGAAACTCTTTCTCTCTCGTGCTCTGTTACAGCATGGTCAAGTCGCACGAGAGGATAAAGAAGCAGCAAATGGCTGCTCCTCGTTCTTGAAAACAAAAGAACCTCTCCTTGTATAGCTCCATAAAGGTACTCACACTTTGCTTGCATCACTCACTTGTTAATGCTTTGTGTCTGGCATCTTTCGCCAGTTCTCACTTGTGTTGTGTGTTTCTTTCCCTGCCTCATCAGGGCATCCTCGGCTTAGAGTCAATACTACAACACTTGTTTTCCACTTCACATTTGCTTTGTCGACAATAACGAGCTGATGGGAAGTTTGAGAAGAGCTTTGTGTCATCCATGGTGTATTGATTTGATTTTACAGGTGCTGAGTGAGACCCTTTTTTTTTTCTCTCATTTCTGTTTATGACGGTTAGTTATTGTCAAACTTTGATTTTAAAACTTTATTATATATCATATTTATTGGCTTATGATTATCAATTTTAGATCAACAAAATGTGACAGATTATTTTCCTAGTGATCTTCTGACAGTTGAAGTTAACAAAATGAAACATAAATTTTTTTTAATTGGTTTATAAATCAATTTTGACATCCCATGTGTTCATGTTTTCACAACAACAGGGAAGGCTGGGAAGCTGCACTCTTCTCACTTACTGCATCCACAAGGTTTTTTTTTTTCAAACTGAAATCATAACACGTTATTTTCCTAAATTAATCCATGGAAGAGAAAAAAAGAAGAAAAAACTCAATACCTGGACACACAAACAAAAGGGAAATCTCTACTTAAAGCCACGAAATGCTAATATTGATGTTTCTTAATAATGCAATTCAAAACGGCCAATATATATGTATCATCAAATTGTAGCAATTAGATATAGAAAGCAAAATGATCAAGACATGTCTAATGATCTGTATCACCGTCTTACATATGTCAGTGTCTAGGTCTCATTATGTGATTATGGGCCTGGGCCAAATAAACGTGGACTCAATAATAATTGATATTGGGCTAATCATAATTTATCATTAAACAAAAAAAAACAATAAAGGAAAAGAAAACAAAGTGTATGTCCTAAAGAAGTCAAGTCATTGAGATGTCGGAAGAAACATCAACAGATTCTTAATCAGAGAGATCGAAATTCTTCTTCTTAAGAAAAAAGACTCAAAAACTTGTTGTCAAAATTTGGAAGATGAAGGACAGAGAGGAATCATCATCATCTAGTTCTTCAATGACAACAACAAACAACCCTAATGGAATCATCAACAACGGCGAGCACGAACCTCGAGATATCAACATCCGATCATTCTCTTCTGTTCCTTCTTCTCCTCGTAACGCTTCTTCCAAATACGATTTCGTCAAGGTTCGATTTTTCTTTCAATTTTTTCAATTGTCTTCTTTTTCAAATTTCTGATTTTTCTTATCAACGACTTTTAGGTGAAGGTATGGCTTGGAGACAACGCCGATCACTACTATGTTCTGTCTCGCTTCTTAGTTTGTAGAATGTTAACTGTTACTAAGGTTTGTTCTATTTTACATCTAAAACATTCTTCAGATTCTAAGAGTTTAGCACTGAATGATTCTTCAATAACATTGATTACAATATTTGCCGATTTTGATTCAGATCCCAAATCATGAGGCTATAAAGATTTCTCTTGAACTCAAGAAGCTTCTAATTGACAACAGTCTTCTTGATGTGTATGCTCAATTCGTCTTCCTTCTCATCGATTCAAATTTACATAATCTTGATCTTGTTTTGTAACATAATTTGCTTTGTTTCTTTTTGCAGCTCTCAGTCTGATTTGGAAACCAATTTGTTTAAGGTACACACTTAATATCTTTGCTAAAACTTTTCTTATGAACATTGAAGTAATCTGTTAATGGTTGAAATTTGCAGCTTATGGAGCGACGTGGTTATGGAGAAGAATACATAAATCGTTACAACATGATGACAAAGTAAAACGCTTTATGATATATTTTACTTGTTTAAAAATCTTTTCTCAAAGTTCATATTTTTTGATTTTATACTTTTCTTTTTTTTTTCAGATTTCATCATCAAAGAGTACCTCTTGTCATACTTGTTTGCGGAACAGCTTGTGTTGGCAAGTCCACAATAGCTACACAACTTGCTCAGAGACTAAACTTGCCTAACGTCTTACAAGTAACTTGCTCAATCACCATTTTCATATGTTCGCTTTCATTTGTTTTGTTAATCTTCTAAAAATCCTATGTGCTCTTTTGTTACACAGACAGACATGGTATATGAGCTGCTTCGAACAGCAACTGAGTATGTTTTTCTCTTTTTTAGTTATGTACATTGTTATCCTCTAGTCTAAGAGTTACAACAGCATAAACACGTTTATTTCTGTACAATGTAGTGCTCCGTTAACATCAACCCCTGTATGGACTCGAGAATTTGGCTCATCAGAAGAGTTGATTACTGAATTCTGTAGAGAATGCAGAATTGTTCGAAAAGGTACTTCCTTTTGAACTGTATGATTGTTTTCATTTTGTGTTTGTTTATTGTTACTCTCTTTATTCTTTTTTCTTTGAGTGTGTTTTGACAATACTCAATGGCTTGTGGTTTGTGTAGGACTTGGTGGTGATTTAAAGAAGGCAATGAAAGATGGGAAACCCATTATAATTGAGGTAAATTGTTTGTGAAAGCTCTATACGTCTAGATTATATTTTGGCAATTTCATTTGTTTTCTAATATTGGTCGAGTAATCACAGGGAAGACATTTAGATCCAAGCATTTACTTAATGAATGATGAGAACAAAACTCCATCAAATGATCCCGAGAAGAACAGTAGCGAAACAAACTCTTCACCAGAGTTAACCTCGGACAAGAATCCCGAGGCAGGTTCTTCAAACACGAAAGTAACCGACAATAGTTCTGTGAAACCACCCAATTCTCAGGATGAAGCCGTGGCATCTGTAGAAGCTATCGACTTATCAGAAAAAGTTACACAATGTAAAATAAACGGTAAGTATTTTCAGCATAACTTTTATCTTCGTGTGCAAATTCTTGCATTTGATTCGATATGATTATATAGTTCTGTTTCGTTTCGTGTGTGTGCAGCTGAAAGTTCGAAAGATGCTGAGAAGAAAAGCAAATCTGCAGATGGAAGTGGAAAGACGAAATCTGGCCCCGAACCAATAGTCATATCTATTGTTTTAAAGATGTCTGAATTCGATCATAAGGTGATTCAAACTTTGCTCATTTCGAGGTATATAACTCAAAAAGTAGTGTTTCTCGGTTCTTTATTTTTGTTAATCTCATTTTCTCAGGCTTTGCTAGAGGAGTGGATCTCTTCCCGTACATCTGGAGAGAAATATACCTCTAAGGTATTAAACAACTTGAAGCTTAAAAAGATCACTTAACTGATCTTGAAAGTTGCATGAACACATGTTTGGCTACTCTTTTTGCAGGAGAAAGATAGACTAATTACAAACCTAAAGACCATTGAAGACTACCTTTGTTCCTTCAATTCACAGGTTTGTTGGGTCCTTGATCACTCAATTTTCTTTTTCAGGTTTTGCGGTTCTAACGTTTCTTATTTGTGAATCAGGGAGTGACTGTTGTAAATATATCAGCCACCACATTCCCGCAGACACTAGATGGGCTTCACAACTATCTTCTTGAGGTAAGAAGAAGTCAGCAAATTCAAAGCTTTGAAAGTCTAAATGATCTCAACAGAAAGAAACAGTAACCATAATCTTTGTGTGTGTTGTAGCGTATTGAGGAAGGGATTCGATCATCAGAGAATGAGGCGCCAAAGTGAGACGCATGCAGAAGAAGTCTTAAGGAAGCTAGACTCATCTTCTCTACTGTAATCCTATGTTATGCCTCAGAAACTATATAATAGTTAAAACAACTGAGATTAGAGTGATCAACCAATTAGAAACGTTTCGATTAGCGAGTTTTGTATTCTATAGTGTAAGCTATCACTCGCTATCAAAAACAAAGAGAAATTCTTGCATGAACTAATGTAGTTACTCATATTTTCATTTAGAATAAGATAAGAATCTGACATAATAGGATCTTCCCCTAGGGAATGGATCTGACAATAAAGTAAAGTGCATGCACTTGGAGATTTGATGATCCCATCTTACATTTGTCAACTTTATGGGCCATTGGTTCTCTGTCTCCAATTCGTAGAGACTCTGAATTTGGCTCTGCCTCCATTAAATTGAGTCAAAGATCAGTCCCACAACAATCAAGCACCATTCACAGTCTCAAAACATACATGATGGATGATCATAAAAGACCTATTTGGTGTAAATCGTAGGCTTGTAAACTCTGTTTTGGATCAAGCTGAAGATAATTATAGGACGAGTATTGGAAACTTCTTGATCTTGTTATGCAAATGCAATTACTACTGCTCAATAAGAAAAAAAACAGTAATGGAAAAACTGGAAAAAATGGAGATGCGGGGTATCGATCCCCGTACCTCTCGCATGCTAAGCGAGCGCTCTACCATCTGAGCTACATCCCCATTGCTAAGAAAGTACTTTAATATATATTTATTCTATTTTTATAAAATAAGGGTCCCTTCTCAATATCCTCTATATAACTCCGAGCGAGCATCTAAAACCCTAACTTATCAGACTCTGTTTCTAAACGCCGTTTCTTCATCAAAACATTATATTTCTTCTTTGTTTTCAAGCTTATTTTGTTTTATTGAATTGAGTAGTATAGGATTTGGTTGCTGATAGTTCTTGACACCTTTGATGGTTGTTTTACTTACTTTGAAGGATCTTTTTCCAACTTTCTTTCAAGCTCAATTTTTTTGTTTTATCTGCAAGTGACGATTAAACAGACAGGGACATCAGAAAATTTTCTGTGTTGACTATAGTCTATAATGGGAATCTCTCTGATGCACTAACAAAAAACTTCATCACTTTCAGTTTTCAAAAAAAAACTTTTTGCTTGTTTTGATTTGATTTATAAAGTGAAAGGCTTTACCAATGATGGAATTCAAATAATCATCAGATCTGATGTGTTATACACACATGATTACAACCTTGACGCTGAGGTAAAGCCTTTTGTTATTTTGACATAAACCAAATCTTTCGTGTCTGTTTGGTTCAGATCTAAACACATATTGAATCATGTTCTTGAAACAGAGTGAAGTTCTTAATCAAAGATTCAGTGTAAAGAACCAAATTCCGAATATTGAAACTTTGAAGGCACACGGTTATCAATATGTAACTCTAATGACAAGTTTCACTGTTTCAGCTATATATTTGATCGAAACTAAAAAGAATAAAACCTTAATGCCAAACCAATATACTAATATCTACAAAATCACAAGGAACCCTAATGAAAAATCATCTCTTTTATAGCACCATCGTTTGATATTGCTCCTCTGTTTTATAACCATTGTTGCTAGCTTGATGCATTGTCAAGGAATTCAGATTCATTTTCAGTTCCCCAACCGATGCCAAAGTCGCAAGTTCTTTCTCATCTAATCCCTTTGCTGGCCCGAGGCTGCATCGTTCGCTACCGTGCTTATCCAACGCTTTCTTGAACTTATTGATCTGCACATTCCAATAAAAAAAAAAAAAAGAGATTAAGGCTACTACCAAAATATGCCACTGATATGAAAACAGTAAAATGTTTTGCTTACGGTTGCAATAGTGCAGCTGAAGCTACAGACTTTACCCTCAGCTCCTCTATACAACTTAAAGAAAGGAAGCACATGAACGCTAAGACCATGACACATTGTTCTTAGCTCTTCTTGATTCACTTTCAGAAACATCACATTTGGGTTTGATTCAGCCAATTGACAGATCTGTTATAGTATACAAAACAAACATATCAATACACAAAAGCAGATCCACTGAAACTATCCAGAAAAAGAGTTGAAACTATTCATACCTTAGGGTGGAGAGATTTGCAGCCACCACAACCAGGAGAGTAGAAATCAAGAACAACCAATCTATCTCCAGCATTTAACAAAGAGTCAACTAGATGATTTGCAGATTGAATCTCTAACATGTTGTGATTCGTTGACTTTTCCCACCATCTCATTCCTCTACTCATACCAATTGATGATGTCTTTGCCTGAAACTAACCATTTCAATCACAAGCCAATTAGTAATTCATAAAACCACAAAGATTTCGATTAAAGAAACCAAAAAAAAGAGAGAATTCTTTTGTTTTTGCTTACAGGAGTCACAGAGGAAGAAGAGAAAGCGGTTAAAGTTTGGTTGGCGAAATCTGTTGAAACCATGGCATGTTCCTTCAAATCGAGACTCATAACCGGACAAAGTTTCGATTTTGATTGATTCTCCTGAGAAAATGGAGAAAACCCAGAAAGAACATGATTGGTTCCAAGAGATGAAATTGCATCCATGTCAAATCTTGTTTTAAGAAAGTGAAGCAAAAAAAAAAAATCAATGAAAGACTCAGAAATTTGAGTTTGGAGGAAATTGAAAAAAGTGCAAAGATTTTGAATGAGAAAAATCACAAAAAGTTGATCACTTTATTGACCTCTCGATATCAATGGAAGAAAACACTTTGCACAGTTACGCAGAAACTTGTGTGTTTTTAAGACAAAACTGGAATTTACTCGTAGGTGGGTCCTTGTTTATCCAATTGGATTTTGTTTTGTCTTTATCCATTTTTTCACCGTTGATTTCGTGATTTGTGCTAATAGTTAACTCAGTCAGTCTAGTGATTAACGATAGTTGACCAATAATTTAATAACATTAGTCAATAATCTAAAAATCTGAAGATCCGGATTGGGTGTTGTTACTACGATTTCATGCTTATCTTCTTCTATGAATTTAACAAGATTATCCACTAAGTAAATAAAATGTCTCTCTTTTTTTTTTTTTGGTCAAACAATAAAAATTATCTCTTTGTAATTGATTTTCTGTTATTTTTTTCCTTGTGAGAAGGAGGAGTGAAAAAAAAAACATCATTGTCAGCTTCGTCGCATGAAACGTGTTGCTGACTGTGTATGGGGCTTTTCCTCGTTGGATATGGTCCCACTTAGCTTATACAATGGTATTGCATAATTGTTACTATTGTAGCAATCCAATTGGAAGATATTATGAAAACAAAAAGAAAAATCAATTTTTGTCAAACATATTATATAAAATTTTATTGTTGTTTAAATAATTGTTATAGAAGAAATTACCATTTTAAAGGTAATCATATACAAACTTTGGTAAATTATTCATTTAGCATTGTTTTTTAGCTTGAAGATTGGAAATTTTCATTATTTGAAGATATTGAATTTCTTACTGTTAATTTTAAAATGGGATGTATATCTTATCCTAAAATAAATGTTTGTTACTGAGTCACACTCAGTTTTCCTTTTCTGTATTTCATTAAATTTTGGATTTGTTTGCATTATCCATTATCAGATATTTTTGACAAAAAAATAATGATATGCAAGCCCACAGTTTTATTATGGATTTGTCAGTAAAAATATGGTCCAAATAGAATCCAAAAGCGGCCCACAGGATTTTAATCCAAAACAATGCCTAGAAACTATGTGCAAAATTGACTGCAAATAATTGCAAAGTCGCTAAACATTGCTAGCAATTCCATAGTTTTACAAACTAGACTAAAAAAAAAACACAAGGAATATATTTTATATGTATTTTTTATTGTCTACAACTTACACACCAATATTATACCTAAGTTATGATATGTTAGCAACACTAATACAAAGTTACAAACGATTCCACTCGAATTTATTTTCTATTCTAACTTCTAAGACTGTAAATAACAATTTTTTATTATGCTTTGTGCTATTGTACATACAGTATGTAGTAATATGATTGACTATTGATTTGATCATTGGACCCCAAGTATCACCATATCCTTAAGCACTTCGACTAAAGCCCACATTTTGGAGTCCAACGAAATGAATATGGGTCAATAAGGTATCACCATAAAAGCTAGCTCCCTTAATCTGTATATTAATATGGTTGCTTTATCCGAGTAATAAAATAAACGAGACTGGCCCTGTGGGCTGTGGCCCATATACAGAGCTTAGGAGTCTTATGTCAGTGTTGTTGGTAAATACGTTGACTCATAACATTGATTTGCATCAAATGCGATAACCATTACCCTAACAAAATCATAATACTTTTTCAAAAAAATTAAAAAATCATAATACACTTGAATAGTTTAGTTTTCGGTTCTTTTGAACGAAACTATTACAGTGAAAAACAATTGACGATTAAATTAGACACTTTTAGAAACAATTATTAGACGTTTACATCTGAATTTTTTACTAATCGTCTCTTCAACATGTAGACACGTGGCCATTCACCTAAATTTCGGGTATTAGGAAAAAAGATGACGTCGCAGATTTAAATATAGGTTAAGTTGACTACAACAATACAAAATTTACAAAATCAAAAGCTTACGATTAGCGAAGAAGAGACCGGAAGGTCTTCGCCAATCGATGGCATATTGATACGTGGTTTTGTCTTAGTGGATATTGTCCTTAAATAGAAATATTAGTAGCTTTCTTACCACCTAATTTGCGACATTTTCTATTAGCAGATTTTTTATTTTATCAGACTGCCAAATTTTTCATTTGATCTCGTTCTCTCCTCCCACCATAACATTATTCTTAATCAATTTTAAATATTACCATTGTCTGCTCACGTTTTATTTACCAAAATATCGGTACGCATAATCTGATTCGCAGCATATATATAGACCATTCAAAACCTTTATTTCACTAAAATTCTCTTATGTAAACAGTATATAGGCGGCCAAAGGGAACGTCAATTAGCGCATAATTAACTACTCGTAGTCGTAGCAATATAGATTTCTTTCTGAAGTTATAACTTTGTAATTGTTTTTGGTTGTAAAAGAAAAAGATCGCGGGATGGTGAAATGTAAACCTAGTGCCAATCCTAATTGTTTGGTGAAACTCAACTATGCAAACGATGATAAATGGAGATATTTCTCGTGCTTATTTTCCAAATTTTATTAATGTTTTTAATATATGTTTAAATATAGCAAATGGAAAATAAACAATGGCGCTGCCTTATAATGCTTCCGAATTATGTTTCTTATCAATTAATGTTATTACAACCAAAATAAAAACTATACAAGGAAATCTCTACTTAGCAAAACAAAAAAAAATCTCTATCACTAAGAGTTTTTCCCAAAAAAATATTTACATGAAGAAACGAGGACAATTGTTTCATAGCTAAACTGATCTGAAAAAAATACCTTTGAGTATGTTTCCAATATTTGTGCTATCTTTGAGTCGATAAACAATAAACTTTTAATAAAATAAAAATATTATATATCTTTATCGAATATGTAATATTATGTAAAATGGCCGACACGATCTTCATATTAAGCTATGGAATCCGTCGTATATTTTTCTGGAATATATACAGACAGGCACAAGTAAAAGATCTAAAAACTAATTGGATTCTAGGCGAACATCCACCCTGAACACCTTTTTTTCCTAAATAAATGTCAATTTATGGTACCAAACTCAAAATGTGCTAGTAATACACCGAACGCACTTCACTCTTAGAAATAGAAATTATGAAAATCTATTCTATTTCTTTGACCTTTTCTAAGTGTTTTTAATAACAATTAAAACTTTGACGAATAAGGTAACAAGATTAAAGAACCAATAAAAGTACCAGCAGAAACATCATTTGTCAATCATGCCTTCTTGATTCTTCTTTTGGAAAGAGAGTTTTAAAGTTAAATTTATATTTTATGCTAAAACATTACTATCTGACATATTAAATTGGTACTGAGTCATCTATATTTCAACTTTTTATTATTCTTAATTGCTAACAAGCACAGACTTCCTTATTAAAATTCTAATCTGTTTGATCTCAAAAGTGGTTAGATATGGTTACTAAAAAAATACACAATGATATGGGAAGTCATACAAAGATAATTTATTTATTTAAGAACATAAAACTTCTCCATTACAGAGAAATGAAACAGTTTATTTATTGTTATTGTTTTACAAGATATATAGGTGAATTTCAATGAAAGTCGTTTATACGAGAAAATAACAACATTATTTAT